AGCACTGACATGTCATGGGGTTGGTAACCAATGTCACAAAACCATATGTATACTAATTGTTTAATGAGAAGCTAGTTTGCTCTTTAAACCTTCATCTAAAGTATAATAATAAAAATAATAATACTATTAAAGAATTGCAGCAATAAGCTTTTGATGACCACTTCATTCTGGCATAAACGTTATTGGTGGGGCTATACTGTATGAGATTCCTTGCATCTAAAGGAGCTGTGAATCATCAGACCATCCTGAGGAAGCCAGTGTGAACCTCAGTGATTCTCAGTCCTGCAATCAGCCTGAAGAAATCTCTGTTTCACATGGACTGGCAGCCCATGGAGATAGGATAACTTTGGATCATTCACAAGTCTCCCTAAATCAAAGAGAACACCAGTAGGACGTGCATAAGTTCAGGTCCAACCAAGAGACTGATACCACTGCACAATATGAACAAAGTTTAATATGAAGAATTATTAACCATGACAGAGAAGTAATGAAAGAGGTGAAAAGAGAGCTCTAAAGAATACCCTAGGGTTGACAGAGGAACAACTTGAAAGGGGAAATCCTTCCCCAAGGCTGGAATTCAGAGCTTCTTGGAGAAGGTGAGGTGCAGCCCATTCAATGGGGTACAAGTTTGCTGAGTTCCCTGAGCCAGAGCTGATCCACAGTTGTCAGGAAAGACACCTCCAGAGTCCAGGAGGCCCAGGCTGGCAGGCAGGCATGCAGAGAGAGTCAGGGTACAAGGAACCCACTCATAAGCAAGGTAATGCAAGGCTGGGGTATGCAGTGTCTGCTTGGGGAAGGCCATGGCAAACACTCTTCTGGAGGATAAAGACAGGCCAGCATTGGGGAGAGGTATACAGAAGGAGAAGGGACATCAGGCACCTGCTCATCGGTAGGACAAAGCCTGGGGTGTACGATGTCCGTGTTGGGAGGTGCTGGGAGGCCAAAGCTTAGGGGCAGGTACACAGAGGGAGTCAGGGAGTCAGAAGCCCACTCTCCAGTAGACATGGGGTGCCTTCGTGTCCTCAGCGAAGTGGTTACCAAACTGGCTGAAGCTGCAAGACTATATTGCCCTGTCGTTAGAGTAGAACGACCCCGGCAACAGTACAGCAGAAGCAAGAATACACAAAATCACTAAATTGGGATAAGGAAGAAAAGCCCCTACCCTCCGGTAATGCCCCTCCAGCGCCCTCTACTGCCAAGCTTAATAGCATGCTCACGGTAAAGGACAAATGCTTAAAGGGTCCAAACAATTGGGCCAGGACAGGAAATGAAAGAAGGGTCTTGAAGTTAAGAGGCAATAAATAGATAATTAGCATAACTGATTCTTTTTGTTGTTGTTAGGTGCTGTCAAGTCAGTTCCAACTCATAGAGACCCTATGTACAGCAGAACGAAACACTGGCAGGTCCTGCGCCATCCTCACAATCACTGCTATGTTTGAGCCCATTGTTGCAGCCATTGTGTCAATCTATCTCATTGAGAGTCTTCCTCTTTTTCATTGACCCTCTACTTTACCAAGTATGATGTCCTTCTCCAGGAAGTGGTTCCTCTTGATAACACATCCAAAGTATGTGAGACCAAGTCTTGCCATTCTCACTTCTAAGGAGCATTCTGGCTGTACTTCTTCTAAGACAGATTTGTTCATTCTTCTGGCAGTCCATGGTATATTCGATATTCTTCGCCAACACCATAATTCAAATACGTCAATTCTTCTTCGGTCTTCCTTATTCACTGTCCAGTTTTCACATGCATATGAGGCAACTGAAAATGCCATGGCTTGGGTCAGGTACACCTTTGTCCTTAAAGTGACATCTTTGCTTTTTAACACTTTTGAGAGGTCTTTTGCAGCAGATTTGTCTAATGCAGTATGTCATTTGATTTTCTGACTGCTGCTTTCATGGGCGTTGATTGTGGATCCAAGTAAAATGAAATCCTTGACAACATCAATCTCTTCTCCGTTTACCATGATGTTGCTTATTGGTCCAGTTGTGAGGATTTTTGTTTTCTTTATGTTGAGGTGTAATCCATACTGAAGGCTATGGTCTTTGATCTTCATCAGTAAGTGCTTCAGGTCATCTTCACTTTCAGCAAGCAAGGTCGTGTCATCTGCATAACACAGGTTGTTAATGAGTCTTCCTCCAATCCTGATGTCCTGTTCTTCTACATATAGTCCAGCTTCTCAGATTTTTTGCTTAGCATAGAGATTGAATAAGTATGGTGAAAGGATACAACCCTGAGGCACACCTTTGCTGACTCTAAATCATGCAGTATACCCTTGTTCTGTTCGAACAACTGCCTACTGATCTAAGTACAGGTTCTTTATGAACACAATTAAGTATTCTGGGATTTCCATTCTTTGCAGTGTTATTCATAATTTGTTACAACCCACACAGTCGAATGCCTTTGCATAGTCAATAAAACACAGGTAAACATCTTTCTAGTATTCTCTGCTTTCAGCCAGGATCCATGTGACATCGGCAATGATATCCATCTTTCCACATCCTCTTCTGAGTCCAGCTTGAATTTCTGGCAGTTCCCTGTCGATGTACTGCTGCAACCAGTTTTCAATTATCTTCAGCAAAATTTTACTTGTGTGTAATATTAATGATATTGTACAATAATTTCCACATTTTGTTGGATCACCTGTCTTTGGAATGGGTACATTCTTAGAGCCAAGAATTACTGATGTAATTCTAGGCCAGGAATTTTAGGCTAATCTTGAAAGGCAACAATTCCCCCAATGTGAATGAGAAATATAGCTGATACCAGTTACTGGAAAGTACTTTATAAGCCATTGTAAGAATATTGAAGCAAGTATTCGTATAAGAATAAATAAATGATGTCACAAAAGAGAAATTATTAATTAATATCAACACACATGAAAAGTTCGTATAACACAAAGATGGCAGTTCAATTTCATTGGGAAAAGGATGGATTATTTAATACATTATTTTAGAACAGATGTCTAGCCATCTAAAAGAAAAGTAAAATGAAGCATCAACTGGCAACCCATTCAAACATAAATTCCACATGGATTATTTCTTTAATATTTTTTAAACTATACTCATCTTACAAGAAAATGTAGGTGTTGGGAGACATTTCTAATCAAGACTTGAAATGCAAAATCTAGAGGAGGGAAAAGATAGATATAAGTGACTATATTTTAAAAAAAAGGTTGACAAAAGATATCACGAACAGTTCTAAAATATGCACATGTATGTCAGTTGGAAGAGAAGTGTGTATACACGTATGTATTGTACATGCGTCTGTACATAAATGCACTTGTTTCCTAACTCTAGCTGCCAAAAGAGCCTAGACGTCAAGAGGCAACGAGCTTGTATGTGCCCAGATCAGAGTCTCTGTATCAGCCAGGAGCCAGTCAGAATATGGAATCCACACAGTAATTTGGACAGGGTAGGTCTTATGAAAAATAGGTTGCCTGGACCACAGCTGGTCTATAGTTAGAGGGCCAAAGTTGAGGGGGAGGAACCACAGGACGGGACTGGCAAGCAGGAAACTCCCTGCTGTGGTGCCAGCACACCATGGCTGGAAGGAGGGAGCCGCAGGCCGACTAGCAGCAATACTGGACAGAGGGTTAGCTCCACTAAGTGTCCGTCACGTGCCACTGGCAGCGCGGAGCCAGCAGCAGAAGTACACCAGACCCCTGTCTCCCACGGTGTCCCTCCAACACCCTCCACTGATCAAGCTTATGCAAGTCAACTAGAAAAGGAGGTCCAACGTCCAACACGGCAGTGAAGGGTGGGTTTGGAGATAAGAGGCAATAAATTAACAACTAGCACAGTCTCTAATACTATTGCCCACTGTAAGCAACCGCTCTTGAAGAAATGGTTGATTCCAGGGCTAGGGCAGAATAAATTCAAGATGAGCACTGAATATCTTGTTATGCCTAAATAAAAGAAGTACTCAAAAAATAAATAAATATATATATATACACACGATGGAAGCATGTTACAGGGACATAGAAGTCAGCTTAAAGGGTCTCCTGCTAGTTACAGCTGAGGCAATTTAGCATCAAAATAATTAAGTACATCAAAAAACCGTAAACTACTAGAAAAAACAGGTATATGAGTCCATATCAACGATAGATGATAGACAGACACAGTGATAAAGGGAGAAAGGAGAGGGTGCTTGACTTGAAAACTCATTATTTTATAACCTTCACGTAGAGATTGGTTCATGTAGGAATCATTAATGGATGCTAAATCTCAGGGGCAATTTTGATGAAGAGTAGGATACCTTCACGGACTTAAAAGTTTCTCTCCAAAGGTTACTTATTAGAACAAAGAAAAGAAGGGAGCGGGGAGGGAAGGAAGAAAAACAGACCAACCAATACACAGAGTGACAGTTACCAGGTCCTAATCCCTAGAATCTGTAAATGGTCCCCTATCTGGAATAAGGGTCTTTGCAGATGTGATTAAATGAAGGATCTTGAGGGGGGAAGACTCTGCTGAATTATCTGGGTGATCACTAAATGCCGTAATCAGTGTCCTTATAAGAACGAGGCAAAGGGAGATTTCACACAGAGGAGAAAGTGTATGAAGCTGGAGCAGACAGAGATGAGATGATTGCCCTTGAAGAAGCGAGTGACGAGCCACAAGCCAGAATGGCAGCAGCCCGCAGAAGCTGCAAGAGGGAAGGAATGCTTCTTCCCTGGAGCGTCTGGAAGGAGTGTGGCCCTGCCAATCCTTGATTTCGGCCCAGTGGTACTGACTTCAGACTCCTGGCCTCCGAAGCTCCAAGAAAATAAGTTTCTTGGGGTTGTTGTTGTTTCATGGAAAGAAGAAGTAAATCTATTTTGAGTTATTGAAATTACATCAAGAACATGAAAAAACAACTTCAAGTACTTGCTGAATTAAATCAATTACCTTAATAATAGGGGCTTCTGAGGGGCTTCATGGTACAGTATTTCTGGGTTCAGCAGGTATGCATAATTCACTAAGAGTCACTTTTTAAAAATAGCAATTTCAAAATAACCACTTACCAAACACTATTCCCTTGGCAAACGGAGGAAACAATTCTGAATGTCGGAATAAGTTCTTGTGAATTTGCCAGAGTTCTTTGTGCAGTTTCTTAAAGTCACTGTATCTCTTCCATACGATTATCTGAGGAGAAGAAAGAGTTACATGTACATCTACATGGAAACTGTTCAGGTTCAGACAGCTGAACAACAAATCATCCTTCCACTAAATGTTCACATGCAAAGGGAAACAAATCCATGTCCTAACCAATATGGCTAACCTAAAATTAACTGGTAATATTTGCTTTTAAAATATAGAGCAGCCATTCTTCCTCAGACTGTTCGGTTTTAGTTTTTAAATTCATTTTAAACAAGTACTGTTTTCTTCAGACTGGAAAAATATTCAACCTGGTACCAGGAAGGTATATACTGCATAAAATGTCACTTAACCTCTTCAAAAACCAGTAACTACTGGCAAATGTTTTTGTTGATATATTTTTACCACGATTCAAAAAAAAACAGTAACTACTGGCCTGGAAATGAGCTAGATGTCAAAATATACATTCTGTCTCAAAAATAACACATGCGTAAACAGAAAATAATTAATTTAGATATATACTCAGCATTTGCCTAAAAGGATAAATAAATTGAGTAACAAGAAATGGCTGTGAAGCAAGAAATTGACATGAACTTTTATATTTTGTTTTGCACTAATTTCATAAATGTCTACTTAAAGTAGCACTAAGATTTCTGGGGGCAAGGTGAATCCTGACCAGAGTATCATTGAAATGATTATATTTCAAAATACAAAATAATCATCATCTAGATTCAACAAGACTTAAAAGTGAGTTTACCCTTCATTACTTGAATTATTGTTTAACCTTATTCAGATAAAATTAGAAAAACAAAAAAATACTTTGTAAAGAAGAAGGACTTGAAATATGAGGTCTTGATACCACTGAATCAGCCCCTCAGTCTCCACAAAACAGGGCTAAACTGAGTTTCAAATTCGACTACCTGCTATAGTAGGGCCTTTGCTTCTGAAAAGCCAAATCACCTCACTTCTAACAAACTCCAAGTCTTCTCATGTACAACAGAGTCTAATGCTAATGAGCAGATACTAAGCCCAACAGGTCATCAGGTGTGATTTAAGAGATTTTTCAAAAAATGTACTCTCCACATATATGAAATTCTTCACTGAACTTTATCATATTACTAAAATTTCACCATTAGTTTGAGTTTGCTGTTTATAATACAGTGTAATTCTAGGAGGCTAGACAGACTATAATGTGAATTAATTTAAACAAACTGCTTTCTCCTGATGCTTTCTTTTGTTCATTTATTCAACGACAAATACAGGTATCCAAACAAATATTTTCATAGCCCTACTCCGTGCCAGGTACTGGGTTGCCACAAAGGATAAAGAGATGAAAAATACAGTCCCCACCTTAAAGGAGTTCACAGACTATGTACGAAGAATAAGCCAACACGGTAAATACATCTCCAGACCGTGCGATAAACGCTGACAACAGCGTTATAGCAAGGCGCCTAAACCAGCGGGGCATCTGAGAAGGCTTTACAAAAACTATTATCTTAGGTGATAGTTACTGAAGACAAAAATAAAACACAGAGGGTGGGGATGGTGACGAGGTTTTTAAAAGGAGAGAGAGAGATACCAAATATAATTACTAGAATTTTGGCTTTTGGAACTGGATAAATGGTGATGCCATTCCCTGAGGTGAAGAGTAAGGAAGAAGTAGAAAGAAAGAAGTTCAGTTTTAGACATATTTGAAGTAGGTGCCTGTGAAGCATCTAGTTGCAGATGTCCAGTAGGGTAGGTGGGTTTGGAGTTCAGGAAAGAGACCTGAACAATACATACTAATTTCGGAGTCACCATCAGATAGACGGTAATCAGTCAGGAAAGATTTCTCAGCGTTCCTAAGCAGATGAGGAGTCTACCGATAGGCTAACGGGGAACCTACCACTGAAGGACCACCAGAAGGAAGACGAGACCAAGCTAATGCATTTAAGAAGCTTCGCTGGCCACGGGACAGGCCACTAAGATGGAAGAAGGATTTTTATATTAAAATGCAAATGAACAAGACAAATGCTGACAGCAAATATTGACAGAACCCACAGTTCTAGTAAAACAGCAAGAAGAGCTACTTGATGGAGCCAAAACAACGACTGAAAAGTAAAGGGTCTCAGGATAGTCAGACGACAGGTGATTTTATTTTATTTTTATTTTTTCCCACACAAAAATTTATACATACATTGTTTTGTGACTCTAATTGCTCTCCCCATACTGTAACAGCACACTCCTCCTTTTCACCCCTGATTCTCCATGTCCATTCAACCACCTCCTAAACCTCTCTACCTTCCCATCTCACCTCTGGACAGAAGCTGCCCGTTTAGTCTCTTGCATCTACTTGAGCTAAGAGACACATTCCTCAAGAGTATCACTTTATATCCCACAGTCCAGTCCAATCCTGTCTGAAGAGTTGGCCTCGGAAATTGTTTTAGTTCTCGGCTGATACAGAATCCAGAGGCTGTGCTTTCTGGGGTACTTCCAGAGTCAGTCAGACCATTAAGTCTGGTCTTCTTACTAGAATTTGAGTTCTGCACCCCACCTTTCTCCTGCTCCATCAGGGACTCTCTGTTGTGTTCCCTGTCAGGGCGGTCATTGGTGGTAGCCGGGCACCATCTAGTTCTTCTGGTCTCAGGCTAATGAAGTCTCTGGTGTATGTGGCCCTTTCTGTCTCCTGGGCTAATACTTTCCTTGTGTCTTTGGTGTTCTTCATTCTCCTTTACTCCAGGTGGCTGGGACCAGTTGATGCACCTTAGATGGCCACTTGCAAGCTTTTAAGACCCGAGACGCCACTCACCAAAGTAGGATGCAAAACATTTTCTTAATAAGCTTTGTTATGACAGTTGACAGAGATATCCCCTGAAAGCATGGTCCCACAGATACCTGCCCCTGCTACTCTGTCCCTCAAAGTGTTTGATTGTATTCAGGAAACTACTTAGCTTTGGTTTAGTCCAGTTGTGCTGTCCTTCCCTTCACCTAAGATAATTCTTATCTACTATCTAGTTAGCAAATAAATAATCCTCACCCTCCCTCCCCACCCTCGTAACCATCAAAGAATGTTTTCTTCTGTGTTTAAACCTTTTCTTGAGTTCTTATAATAGTGGTCTTATACAGTATTTGTCTTTCTGTGACTGACTAAATTCACTCAGCATAATGACCTCCAGCTTCCTCCATGTTATGTCTCACGGCTTCATCATTGCTCTTTATCATTGCACAGTATTCCACTGTGTGCATATACCATAATTTGTTTATCCATTCGTCCGTTGATGGGCATCTAGGTTGTTTCCATCTTTTTGCTACTGTGAACAGTGCTGCAATGAACATGGGTGTGCATATATCTATTCGTGTGATGGCTCTTATTTCTCTAGGATATTGTCCAAGGAGCGGGATAGCTGGATCATATGATACTCCTATTTCTGGCTTTTTAAGGAAGTGCAAAATCGATTTCCAAAGTGGTTGTACCATTTTACATTCCAACCAACAGTGTATAAGTGTTCCAGTCTCTCCACAGCCTCTCCAGCATTTACCATTTTGTGTTTTTTTAATTAACACTAGCCTTGTTGGGGTGAGATGATATCTCGTTTTAGTTTTGATCTGCATTTCCCTAATGGCTAATGATCGTGAGCATTTCTTCATGTGTCTGTTAGTTGCCTGAATATCTTCCTTGGTGAAGTTCCTGTTCATATCCTTTGCCCATTTTTTAATTGGGTCATTTGTCTTTTTGTTGTTGAGGTTTTGCAGTATCTTGTAGATTTCAGACATTAGACGCTGGTTGTCTTTTCACTCTTGGTGAAGTCTTTTGATGAGCATAACTGTTTGATTTTTAGGAGCTCTCAATTATTTGGTCTCTCTTCTGGTGCTTGTGCATTGCTACTTATGGTTCATATTGTGTTTATGCCATGTGTTAGGGCTCCCAGCGTTGTCCCTATTTTTTCTTCCCTGATCTTTATCGTTTTCGATTTTATATTTAAGTCTTTGATCCATTTTGAGTTACTTTTTGTGCATGGTGTGAGGTATGGGTCTTGTTTCAGTTTTTTGCTGAGGTATATCCAGTTATGCCACCACCAGTTGTTAAAGAGACTGTCTTTTCCCCAATTAATGGACTTTGGGCCTTTGTCAAATATCAGCTGCTCGTAGATGGACAAATTTATGTCTGGATTCTCAATTCTGTTCCATTGTCTATGTATCTGTTGTTGTACCAGTACCAGGCTGTTTTGACTACCGTGGCAGTAGAATAGGTTCTAAAATCAGGTAATGTGAGGCCTCCCACTTTGTTCTTCTTCAGTAATGCTTTACTTATTCGGGGCCTATTCCCTTTCCATATGAAGTTGGTGATTTGTTTCTCCATCTCATTAAAAAATGCTGGTGGAATTTAGATCAGGATTGCATTGTATCTGTAAATTGCTTTGGGTAGAATTGACATTTTTACAATGTTGAGTCTTCCTATCCATGAGCAAGGTTATGTTTTTCCACTTATCATGTCTCGCTTGATTTCTTGCAGTAGTGTCTTGTAGTTTTCATTGTATAGATCTTTTACATCTCTGGTTAGATTTATTCTTAAGTATTTTATCTTTTGGGGGGCTATTGTAAATGGTATTGATTTGGTGATTTCCTCTTCGAGGTTATCTTTGTTGGTGTAGAGGAATCGAACTGATTTTTGTATTTTTATCTTGTATCCTCAAACTTTGCAGAAATCTTCTACTAGTTCCAGTAGTTTTCTTGTGGATTCCTTGGGGTTTTCTGTATATAAGATCATATCATCTGCGAATAGAGATACTTTGACTTCTTCCCTACCACTTTGGATGCCCTTTATTTCTTTTGCTAGCCTAACTTCTCTGGCTAGGACCTCCAGCACAATGTTGAATAAGTGGTGATAAAGGGCATACTTGTCTGGTTCCTGTTCTCAAGGGGAATGCTTTCAAAGTCTCTCCATTTAGGATGATGTTGACTTTTGGCATTCTATAAATGCCTTTAATTATATTGAGGAATTTCTCTTCCATTCCTATTTTGTTGAGAGTTTTTATCATGAATGGGTGTTGGACTTTGTCAAATGCCTT